ATAAGAAACAATCTTCGATCACAATAATAAAACGTAGAATTGAATTGAAAATGAATTGAATTTTCAGAAAAAAATCTATCAAATAAAATAAATCAAAAATTGTAATACTTAAAATTCAGTTTTTTGATATAGAATTTTGAGATATAGTAATACTAAAAAGATTCTCGTAATCTGATTTTTATTAATGGATGGTGCTCATTTTGCATTAGCGCGTGTTTTGAAGTTTGAACTGAAAGTAAAATAAAATGTAGACCGAGAAATGTTGTCGAAGCTTCTGTTTATAGCTTAACTTTATTTAGATTTCAGATATGAAAATTCTGGCTTTTTCTATAGCCTATTAGCTGAGATGTTAGTCTAGTAAAAAGCCCAAAACTGGTAAAACTAGATTTTTCGTTTGTTCAATTTCTTCTCTTGACTTTAGTATATCAAACGCAATTCAATTTCAATACAATTCTATATTTTATTATTGACATAGTCGCTTATTTATTATTCTGAAGATTGAGTTGTGTGTTGCATTAAAGAAAGCGCTTCTTTCGATTTAATTATTTGTTCTGTTGGCTTTATACCAGAGATGGCAAGTCAAGTCAAGTAAGACCTGACTTGAGAGTTTTTTTAACTCTAGACTTGGCTTCACTTGACTTGACTTGTGATCTGGCCTTTTAACAAGTCTCAAGTCAAATCAGAAAAATGGATATTTTTTTGTGATTTATACGTCTGATTCTTGTCTAAACTGAAGTTAGCTACTAGAATAGAAACAAAGAAAAAGAAATACTTTCATATACTTCAAATAAGTGGTATCTAGATGAGAATAAATAGTCATTTTTTTACTTGACTTGACTTGAAAACCCAGTGACTTGACTTGACTTGAACTCAAAAACCTCTGACTTGCCCATCTCTGCTTTATACAACAAATAGACCAAAGTCGAAATGACCGGCAACGAATTATCTGTGCAGTGGATTTCTGATTGATTTTCAAAGAATATCATCACAGTACGCTAATGTTCAAGCGCGTTTCAAATCGTTGAGTTTAATCACAATGTTTGCATTGAGAAATAAAATACTTGCGTATCTCAATTGAAAGAAAATTTTGTTGATTCTACCCTACTGTTGAAAACTATTTGTGAATATCTATTCTCGATTTCAGTTTTAAATCGACAAAAATCATAGACTGATTTGGCTCCTTACTATTCAAATATACTACCATATGATTTCAATTATCACCTACAGGACTCCTACAGCAAGTCACACAGGATTAAAAGAGCAGTGATTTGAGGTGATACGAGGCTTACGATTTTTCCTTGGTTGTTGCATACAAAAGTAAAAAAAACTGAGTATTGCCGGTGAGATTCTAAGAAAAACAGAGGCGGTTCAAGTGACATTTTCAATTAACTCTCGCTTGCGCGGCAATTTTATTTATACAAAACTCATGACTTTGTATTAGATGTAAAAAATAAAAATACCATAATTCGATTTTTTTTTCGTTAGAAAATTTATTTGATGAAATCTACGTACCTCATATCGACATACAAGAAGCCCTTGTATAATCTACATCTCCTCATTCTGAAGAAACCTACAACATGTATACTTATCTACTAATTCTTTTTCTCTTGTTTGCAATATATAATACGATGCATCAATGAAGTGAAATAGAACGCTCATTTTCTTGTCAAACACAATCGCACACTACAATCAAGATCACGTCGATAAACATAGCACAACACAGGATAAGTATTCTTATCCAGTATTGTTAACTATACTTGTAGATCCACACAATATTCCATGTTATCCTCCACTATCGGTACCATCTGTCGGTAAAATTTCTCATCAAGTGCGTAATTCACCATTGCAATTTATGTCTCTATTCTTACGAGGCATACAATCTAGTATCATCATTCATCGACAAAAGATATGCGATCTCCTTTTGTTATCCATGTAACTATTCGATCACCCAAAAATATTGTCCACCCGACGAACAATCAGTCTGCCAATCCTCAAGACATTTTGTTCCCGGTTATATTCTTAAAATCTTTGATTATTTATATTTTCTCTTAGTGTAAATAGATGTCAACTATTTTGTCTGCGCGTTATCATCAAGATAAACCCCAGACTACCGTGATGGGGGGAAGAACGAGAGGAGGGCAGAGGGAATATATGAGAAATGCCTCACCCCGGGATGCTTTTGCAACATTCCAGGATAAATCTGCCAAACAAATTGTCAGTCAAAATTCGGGTAGATCAGTAAACAATCAAGCACCTGCCGACAATGCCACCAAAATTGATCAATATCTCCCGTCATCAATTCAGGTAAAATAGCAAAATGAGGAGCATGCTCATTATTAGATTCGATACGCCTAAGTATTTATTATTGAAGATCTAGAAATTGTTTAGTTTTCGTTCTGTGAGCAAGTTCTTATTTGAAGTATATACATCTTCATAGAATTTTAGAAACGGTCAAAAGTTCTAGTTTCATACAAAATTCGATACAGAGAGTGTTCAACAATTTTTTACCCTAATAAGTAATTTGTGTGCAACTATTAATAGCATGTTTGATCACATACTCTATTAGCTAAACCCTTAGTGAAGTGGTTCTTCAGACTGCGAGAATGATCATTGTAATAAAAATCTAATCTTTTTCTACAAGTAAACGATTTTTATGTTTACTTTCTACACTTTCTTTGCCTTTGATCAATTGGCAACGTAATTTGAACCCATACAACAGCTAATTTTAAGAAATAGAATTTATATCTAAAAAATTTAGTGAAAAAGGATAGAATGACAGCAGAACTAGAGAACTTTAGCATCCTGTTGCGCAAAAACTGCATTTTGATGTGTTTTCAAGGAAAAATGTTTGCCTTTGAGCATCGTTTGCATAAAATAAACTGGAAAAGCATTCGTTTACATAACGTCTATGTCGAAAAAAAGTAGTTCAAAAGGGAAGTACGAAATAAGGATTGAAAACACAAGGGTATACTATCATGTTATATGTATTTCAACAGCCTTTTTCTTAGTTAGTTTCCATATTGTAATTGAACTTTTCCTGGTTCCGTCAAAAACACCTGCCTTAGAAAACAGGTTACCCTAGTGAAACATCTTGTAAGCAAGATCTTGTCAAGATCTTCAAAAGATAGTTCGTATTTATATATCTTGATCGTATCAGATACATCTGTACCTAAGATCTTTGTAAGATCTTTTCAAAATTTTCAGATATGAAGATCATAGAAAAAAATAGCAGTTCTGATTATTTTATCCCAAGATCTTAAGTAAAATGAATAGCGACATCACTAATTTATTCATATATTTAAAAATTTCTTAATTGCTTGTAATAATGTTCCAAACTTCAACCGTATTAATTTCTCACCATCAGAAATATATAAGAGATTTTACAATAATTCGGGCATTTGTCAACCAATGAAACTATAAATATGAATAACAAAGAGAGAAAAAGGAAAGAAAAACAGTTAGCTTAACGTTATAAATTGTGAATAACTTTCGAGTAATTTACTTATGTCTATTATGCGTCATTGTACTTATTATGTAAGAACACAACTAGCCTCATATTACTAATTTTTGAAATAGGGGAATTACATATTGTATTGGCACATAGTTCTGAGCGCTTTTTTGTGCTGTAGGCAAGTTTCAGACTTTATATCTCGTAATTGGAAAGTGATAGATGTCTGAAATTTTTAATGTATATAGATCTCTATGACTTCTACCTACATTAAAAATTTCAGATCTCTATCCGTTTCCAATCACGAGATATAAAGTCTCAAACTTGCCTACAGCACAAAAAAACGCTCAGAACTTATGTGCCAATACAATAGATTTCAATTTTTTTAAATATAGAATTTTTATTGAAAAATGACAAAATGAACTGTTGGTATAACTTTTTTCTCCAAGGTAATAATCCTATACCGATACATATATCTTAAATCCTAAAACTGTTTTTTTTTTTTCTAGATTTAATACACAAATATTTTACATCAGATCAAGTCTTTCCATAGTTTTTCTTATTTTTTTTGAACTGTAATTTTTATTTAATTTCTAGCACGTGCAAAATAGATACTTTTTGAATTTGTAAAAGTTGTTTACGTTAACTAGATATTTTTTTGTAATATTAATTATCTGTTATATAGTTTTTCATGTAAATAATTTTTTTTTGTTCATTAGATGTTCATGTAGATATTTTTCAGTACTAAATAAAGACTAATCAGCAAGATATGACTGGAGATTTTGAAAATCTTGATTGTCAGTAGCAAAGATACAATTATCTGTACCAAAGATCAGTGAAAAAGATCATAAAAGACAAGACTGTAGATAAAAGATCTTGAGTATCTGTTATCAAGATCTTACATATCTGTACCCAAGATCTAAATGCAGATCTTGGTACAAGATAAGACAATCATCTTGTACCTACATTTTCAAGATCTACTAACATATCTGTACCTTGTGTCTTGGCCAAGGTCTTGCTTACAAGATGTTTCACTAGGGTAGAGATTGATCAAATGCCAGATGATAGATTGAAGGAGTTTTGAGAATATATTTTAGAAAGATAATGAATGGTCAACAAGTATTTATTGGTAAAAACTAAAGTGATTTAGTCCTGGTGATATTTTCATTTCTTTTAGTTAAATATAAAATTATTTTTGTCCCAATGGGTCATATTTGCATTTGAGTTATTATTACAAATAATTTTATTTGATTCAATGATAAAACTGAAACCAAAATGGAACTATTTATCCTTTTTCTTTTGTCTATATTCATCTTTTAAATTAATTTAGGTAACTGGCTCATTGTTAAATGTAGTAGATTTTCAGGATATCCATCACCAAGCATCGAACAGAAATAAAAAGAAGCGGTAAATAATTGTTTTGCATTTTTGCTTATTAAGTTTTAGAAATGTTTCACTTAGCTATTTTAAACACGTTCGTTGCCTATATTCACCTGTCTGTTTAATTCTGTCTCTACTTGCTCTTCTTCTTCTTGGCACGGGCATTGCTGCAATGCTGGTCGTCTTGATCGACATCCCTAAAACTACAATAACAGCAACAACAGCGACGACAACAACATCAACCACAACATCAACAGCAACAACAACAACAGAAACGACGACAACAACATGTAAGGCAACATTTGCGTTTCTGTTCGCGTATATAGATGAATATTCACATCACTGGATTTGTAAAAGAAGTTCTAGTGATTGATGTAAGATAAATCTATAACTGAGATAGGTCCAAGAGGGAAGCAGCGATTTTGATGGCTTGAATTTGATTTTCCACAGATTTAAATCAGCTGCTTCCTCCTTGAAAGATTGATGAACAACTCTTCAGAAACTGAAGCTGATATTCAGTCAAGATGTTCGACAGTTTGGCTATAGGAGAAACTGTCGATTTTCTTCTTCTCATCATTTCTTTCTTCATTGATTTCTTCATTCTTGTCCAGTTTTTGTAAAGCGGCAGATTGGTCGCTATAGATTTTAAAAAAGACGGAATAAGGAATTTATTGTTTTTTGGACTATGAAAAAGATGAACAAATAATTGAGTGTTTATTTGGACAGACTTAAAGCTAATACCATTATTGTCTGGTCCAGACGCCCTATGAGCGAGCGAGTGATTGTAGGTGGGTGGAAAGAAGGACGATTGTTTTGGGGCTAATGTCATTTAATTACGCCATTCTCGTAGTACTTCATTGAGGCACCTACTATTGAGTGAAGTATCTCATCAATTATCTCTTACGTAAATGTACGTGTCATCCAACTAAAGTTCTTTTCAAGAGAGTTTTCTGATCATGATTTATCAAGAGCATATTGTTATCAATCATTCTACTAATTTTGCTCAAAGAAAATCTTGAGAATTCGTTCGATTAAAGGCTCATATCGTTTGCTGATCTGATCGAAACAGAGATAAGTTTCAATTTAGTTCCAATGATAAAAGACTGAAAGCAACATTGCAAAACCTGAAGAAGATTACTCGACGATAAGAATGCATTAATTGGAAACAGAGGTGCAACAAATTAGTCAGGATTGTAGAGTGGTAGTTTTCTCATGGGGACTATATACACTATAAGAAAAAGTATTTAGCTTCGCGGAAGATAATAGAAAATTTTTGAAGACTGCGGGTATTATTCTGTTTGCTCACGTTGTCTCTGAAATAGCTGAGTTACGTTTTTGAAAGTAAACAATACTCAGGTAAGACAATTGTTTGTCATTATTATATTGTTGCTAATACCAATGTTTGTTTTGTAATAGCTCCATGCAATAGATTTCCGACACAAGTGACCTATTCCACTGGCTCTGGTCCAGTGTATGTGGCAGCAGCCGATGTCAATGGAGACAGTAAACTCGATATTATTGTCACAAACTGGTTTTCAAACAATGTCGGTATTCTCCTCAACAATGGCAATGGCACGTTTTCTACTCAAGTGACCTATTCGACGGGCACTAACCCGAGATCTGTGGCAGCAGCTGATATCAATGGAGACAGCAAACTCGATATTATTGTCGCAAACTTTGGTTCAAACAACGTCGGTGTTCTCCTCAACAATGGCACTGGCGCGTTTGCTACCCAAGTAACCTATTCGACTGGCATTAACCCGGTTTCTGTAGTAGCAGCCGATATCAATGGAGACAACAAACTCGATATTATTGTCGCAAACCTCAATTCAGTCAACATCGGTGTTCTTCTCAACAATGGCACTGGCACGTTTGCTGCTCAAGTAACCTATTCGACTGGCGTTGATCCGTATTCGGTTGCAGCAGCTGATGTCAACGGAGACAGCAAACTCGATATTATTGTCACAAACTATGGTTCAAACAACGTCGGTGTTCTCCTCAACACTGGCACTGGCACGTTTGCTGCTCAAGTGACCTATTCAACTGGCTCTGGTCCATATTCGGTGGCAGCAGCTGATGTCAATGGAGACAGCACAGTCGATATTATTGTCGGAAACGATGTTTCAAATAACATTGGTGTTCTCCTCAACAATGGCAATGGCACATTTGCTGCTCAAGTGACTTATTCAACTGGCTCGAACCCGCGGTCTGTGGTAGCAGCTGATGTCAATGGAGACAGCAAGCTCGATATTATTGTTGCAAACATGAATTCAAACAACGTCGGTGTTCTTCTCAACAATGGCAATGGTACTTTTGCTGCTCAAGTGACTTATTCAACTGGCTCGAACCCGTATCCGGTGGCAGCAGTTGATGTCAGTGGAGACAGCAAAGTTGATATTATTGTCGCAAACGGCGGTTCAAACAACGTCGGTGTTCTTTTAGCTGCTTGCAACTGACATGCAAATTGAACTCTACTTATGCAGTAACATTGAAGTAGTGGATTTAGAATTTTACTAAAATCTGTTTATGTCTTTTAACAAAATCAGACTGTCCTGGTGCCATTTAATTATTAAGTTTCTCGACTATTCTTATAGAAATAAATACTCATGAATGGAGATTCAATTTTTAGCGTCTTGTTGGCGGATGATGTCGATGTAAGTTTCCATCCAATGGAGCCAGTGAGCCATCATCACAATGATTGTCTGAAGAAAGACAAGCGTATAACGGGGGGTGTAACGATTCGTAACGAGAAATTTACAGGGCTTTCGTAATACGAAAGCCCTGTCATCGTTTTTACTACAGGGCTTTCGTAACGAATTTTGACAGGGCTTTCGTAACAAATTCTGACAAGGCTTTCGTATCAAATTTTGACAGGGCTTTTGTATCAAACTTATACAGGGCTTTCGTATCGTTTTTGACAGGGCTTTCGTAATCAAGTTCTTATTGCATTCATAACTAAAATGAAAGACTGGCACTAAAAAGAACAGGGCATTCGTTACGAATACCCATGCTTACAAATATAGCTTAAGTCATTAAGTGGGATCCATTCGTAACAAGTTTTATATACTTAAATGGTCCAAATACATGGTACTATACTGTGAATGAATTATTTGTATACATTCATAGATGTCGTTGTTATTTCTAGTTCTCTATGTTTTTCCAGAATTGTGTACGCCTTTTTTTGTGAAAGTTGTTGACTTAAAATCGAAGAAATCAATTATGTGTATTCTTAATTCTATTATCTGGATATTGTTCTCGTTCACTCTTCTCTCTTTATGTATTGCCTGGTTTTTGTTACTTTTTGTTGTTACTAAGAAAGAGATTTACAAGAAGATAAAAATTTGTCTATACTTATATGCTGGTTCTCACTTTCTACTTTTGAACTATTTATGTTATAATTTTGGTAGATCACTAATTTCAATATGAAATCCTGTCAGCAACATCTGACTAAAGATCATACCAAATCCTTTTACGTTACGATAGCCCTGTAAGAACGGTACGAAGATCCTGTAAGACCGATACGAAGACCCTGTCAAAATTGTTATGAAGGCCCTGTAAACTTGATAGGAAAGCTCTTTAAAAAATGATACGAAAGCCCTGTCTAAAACGATACGAAAGCCCTGTCGAAAATCGATACGAAAGCCCTGCTTTTTATGATTTATGCATTTTACATTGTTACGAAAGCCCTGCTTCTTACTGGGCTTTCGTAACCAACCGTTACGAATCGTTACCTTCCCGTATAACGAACACACCATCGGCTAAGAGATAACTATAAACATGCAACTATATCAATCGAGAATAGATCGACCTTCAGGATGAAGATGAGCTGCCATGATCGCGATTTTGACCTAGCTGATGACTAGGTGAAGGTGAGGGTGAGATACGCTACCATGACCGGTTTTGACTTTGCTTAAGAGTCCTATCAAATGGTTTAAAAGATCAATTTGAATTAATAAAACCGCATTAAATATCTACATTTATTATCATAGGATATAGAAATTACTGGGTAATAGTGGAATCATATGGCAAATTCAATAGAAAAGGGATTAAAAGCATCACACGACGCCTTCCAGCTGATCATTAAGAGTTGAAGAGGTTGTCTCCAGTAGAAAAGATTTTGACCCTTTAGAGTGAAGAAGTTATTGCTACCTTAATTTATTGATGTATCTGTTGCCGAAGGATGTATGTTTCAATTGTGTTTATTGTTGATAGATTTGTCTATGTATCATTCATCTACAATGTTTTCATGACACACTCAGTTGTAGAGATGGCCTATATACCTGTCTTTGTGTCACTCTCAGTGAGAGCGATGTCCCCTTTCCCGTTGTATGTGTGCTTTGATGCCACTCTCAGTAATAAAGATGTCCTGAATATGTGTTTCTTTATCACCCGTGTCCTTTGAATCGGCTAAAAATTGCCGATTAATCCCGATTCATCGAAACGATAATCGTGAGCTGAATCGCGATAGAATCGCCGATTATTCCCGATTATTTCAGCGATTTTTGCGATAAATCGTGATTTTATGCAAGATTTAACCGTCTGTTTACTGATATTTTCTGCTATTTCATTGGTTCTTTTGGAGACACATATTTGGATTTTTTCTTGAATTTAATTCAATTTTTTTTTCCCAAGATCCAAGCCGATCAGATCGTACGATCTGTCCGATCTCGAGCTGGTCCGATTCTTATCAGACCGCTTCAGTGTAGTCCTCTCCAGATCATGGATCGGGATTGGCATTCCCTTGATTAAAAATAACCAAGAAATAATTTATCAGAAAAGTATATTTCGAAAACTTATTTGTTATGTATTGAACGGCGTTGTTTATATATCCGTGTGTGTTCATAACAAAACGGTGAATGAATAATTGTCATGATTTATCAATGATTTTTGAAAATCAGCCCTTCTCCCATAATCGCGATAAAATCTGATATAATCGTCGATCTTTTAAAGAAATACGATAAATCACGAATTTACGCCAATTTTTTAGAAAATCGCGAAAATCGCAGTGCTCACGACATGGGCAGGCCCACTGAGATTTAAACTTCAAACTTGAATTGAAAACTCGAATAGTTAAAACCTGAAACTTAAAACTTCAATTCAATTCAACTTTCAAGTTTGATAGATGCGTAATCAATGGGAACGATTCATATTTTGGCAAGATTTGCCTCAATTAGAAAAATTTTATTTACAAGATTCTGTAGAATTTTGATTGTGAGTATGAATCTCGAATAATTAGATGGTAGGAAACTAAATTAATTTTCTTCATCGTTTTAGATTGATTATCGATCGATATGATTTGAAGATGTAATCAATTGTGAACATCTTATGTATTGAATTCATCCATACAGGTACAGTGTGAAAAGAACATTTTCTATGAAGCAAATGCGTCTGATTTTACTAAAAGACGGTATGAATATACACAAGATAAGATTATTAAGTCTTCTACTCTTCGAAAGCAAACTTTTCAAAAGTCGCATGTGAATAGCAAAGAACTTCGAGTTTTCAATTAAATTTTTCTATTTTTTTTGACTTTTTTCAATCCAAATCTCTCGCAAAGCCATTGTCGTTTTCGAATAAAAAATTCTTTAAACCAGGACGTTTCACACTCCCAAGATGACCAATGAGCATTACTTGCTCACGAACAATAAAAAATTCAAATTTTCTCATGCAATCTTGATCCATTTCATCCGCTATGGAATGTATTTTTCATGTGAAATCACGATTTCGGAGCACCTTCAGCAGACACATATGAGCTGATGTGTGTGATAAGGATTTCAGTAGAACCATGAATAAGATTTCTATGGCACCTTCAACTTCAGGGAAGGACGGCTGCATATATCTGAACTGATGCGAAATCTTCAAAAATTCGAGTCAAAAATATCAATTCAAACTATTTTCTCCTCACAGAGATATTTTTCTCCAAGTGGAAACAATTCGTTAGGATGTGTTCTCTAATTATTAAAACCTATTTTGAAACGATTTTAGTTTTCGGGAAGAATTTTTTCGAAGAGTTTTTGAAATTCCATATCATTATACATACACATACACGTCTCTCATATTGAAGGTGCCCCGAAAATCCTTATTACACACATCAGCACATATCTCTCTGCTGAGGATGCGTCGAAATCGTGATTTCACATGAAAAACAGATTCCATAGTGGATTAATCGCAAAATGAGAAATTCGAAGGTTTTCATGCGAATTCAGTCAAATTCACCCAGTCAGCAATGTGTTCTTCATGTGGAATCACAATTTCCGAGCATCCTCAGCAGAGAGATATGTGCTGATGGTGTGGATGTGGGGTGTGGGGTGTGAGTGTGGTGTGGATGTGGGTGGGTGTGGGTGGGGTGTGGGTGCAGGGTGTGGGTGGGTGTGGAGGTAGGGTGTGTGTGTGAGTGTGGGGTGTGGGTACGGGTGTGGGTGTGTCTGTGTCTTCACTAGTACCCACACACCCACATCCACGCTCACACGCACACCCACACACCCACACCCTCAAAATTAAAACAGTTGTCGATGATGGACCACGGGGTGAGGCAAATAGTTAAATGTGCGCATATTTAACTATTTGATAGCTCATAATGGTGGTTAACATATTTCTATTGAAGAAATGAAAAATCAATAAATTCTTATATTAATGACTCATGTAATACATATATATATACTTCTTTCTCTTTCTAAACTTTCTACCACGGACAAAATTAACGCAACACGTATTTTTGATAGATATTTTCATTGACGGTCGACGACGAAAAATACAAGTTTTTTAGAAATTTTTTTCGTATGTAGAATTTTGTAGAACTCGTTTCGCTGATCATTTTGGTAAAAAAAATATTCAAATTTAGTCAATAAATAGTGGCATTAGAGTCAAAATACTCAAAGCTTAGGACTCTTCGTGACCACTGCTGAGTAGTAGGTGATATTTTTGAGTATTCTGAGCCAAGGTTCGTTATCTATCGAGTAAATTTGAATAGTTTTTTACCAAAACGATCAGCGCAACGAGCTCTACAAAGTTCTATAGACGAACAAAATTTCTGAAAAACTTATATTTTTCGTCGTCGACCGTCAATGAAAATATCTATCAAAAATACGTGTTGCGTTAATTTTGTCCGTGGTAGTTTAATTCCACCTGTCTTGACAATGAGATTAGATATATCGAAACGTCGACAAAATGTTGTAAAAGTTTTTTTTTTTAAATAAATAAATTGAATAAATCAAGCTGTTGTTAAAATTTTGTCTTTTCAATGTGTAGAAGATAAATGAATTATAACAATGGACAAAAGAATAATAATAATGAAGCTCAACATTAGAGGATATATTTCAAGTAGTATCCACACCCCCAATTGTCTTTTCTCATGTAAGCAAAAATGTTGCTTTTGAATTCGCTGGCCATGTACTATAAGTGTCATGAACAATCGTTGGGAATCTTACAGTTAGATTATTGCGAAAAGTTTGCATGCTCTAATCCATAACGAATTTACTTTTTCTTCAAGATATATTGTTTGTTGGGATTGAGTCGTCTAGCCAATTGCTGCCGATCAATTCGATTTTCTTTTCGAGAATAAATAACCTAAATATGCCAGAACTGCGAAGTAGGTTTAAAATGCTACGTATATATTTACATTCATTAATGCCCTGTCAAAACTTAATTTTCTTACGGTTTATCATGGTTAAAGAAATGCAGTAATCTGTATTCTATGAAATTCAATGATCGTCAGAAGTGCAACAGCAGAAGTTCATGACTCAATAAGCGTTATTGGAAATATTTTCTTTGGTTTTCATAAGATAAAAGTAATATTTTCCGGTGGAATGTGCCCTAAAGTAGACTGAATATATTTTTATCATATATATATAGAAAATTCCTGAGAAGACGTATAGGATGAGTATGTCTAAAGTTTCATCAACGCACACATCATAATTTTCAATAATAGAAAGATACTCGGTGGACTCATTCAATTAAATTCTTTTGAATTGTTTGATAGTTGAAACTATGAGAACATCGTTGTATCTAAATTAAGCATTTTCCTGCTTCGAAAAAAATTAATAGCACCCGAAATTCCTCACTCTTGTTCTGAAATTTAAGATATGCGACATTCAGACTTAATTTTAATCTGATATTGATACGGAAAGCTGTAAACCGTTTCAATGAATGAGAAAAGTTCTTCGTGTTTGGTAGAATGCAATGCAACAATAAAATATCATCAAGCTTTCTTGTCTTAAATTATTTTCTTCAATAATCTGAATTATTTTTTAAGGCAAGTAAACATAAAAGGCTTTATTATGAAACATTCTGTATTAATAACAAATACTGATAACGTCGAGATTATCCCTCCATGTGTAAGAAAAGAATAACAATGCAATTATACGAATAATATAAGATTAACATCACAAAATATCTCGAAAAAACGAATAGTCTTAAACGATTCAGTCCAAAGAGCGAAAAATTGTAGAACTATATTAGATAAATTTGAATTATCTTCTATTACATTCTTTCATCCCAACTATCAATCGAACTGTCGATACCGCCCATTAGAATTTTAACGATATACTAAAAAACATAAGTTTCAGAAAAATAATAATCAAAAAAATAATGTAATTTACATCACCAAACGTGAATGGGAAGTTTCTACCGCGACACGCTTGAATTTCCTTTTTTTCACTTCGATAATCATCAACAACATCGAGATTCGGAATTTTTCTGTCCCAATCATTTAAATATCCTATACATTGTTCATCGTCTGCAATGAAAACCAGATAAAATAATTTGTTTTTGATAAGCAAAATAATCGCTCGTATGTTTTTAATCTACCTGTACATGCAATAATTGTCACTGGAATCAGATTAGTTGGTTGACGTTCATTTTTGAGAACATGCTCAAGTGTATGAATATCTGTTTGTCCTCGTTCATCCGTTGGTATACCGTCAGTTGCTATGAGAATGAGTAATCTACGTTCGTAGATATGATTACAATTGTCTCTAAGTACTTGTCGAAGAACGGGTACAATTGGCGTGGAACATAAAAATGAAATAATTCAGGTAACATCGATCGAAAAAGAATCGAACTTTGTATCTACCTTCGGGTTCCATAGCAAAAATATTCTCCAATTCTGATGAATTTCTTACATGTAGCATAGGCTCACGATTGAGAAAGTGAACATCAACGCCATCAGGATCAAGCAAACTGGCCAGATCGACAACGATCGATACTGTCTGTTTTAATTCGTCCCCTAACAATTGCAATAGAATTAACGTGAATAGTTGATCATTGTATTTAAACGAGATCTTACAGCGTGTTTTTTGTTTTTTATATGGATCATTTATTTGTTCTAAAGAATCTAGACATCAGTAAAAGTTATAAATAAGAGAAGAAACAATGTTTAAGACTTGCCGATGGATGCATTCATTGAACCAGAGTCATCACAAATGAAAACTATTTTATAACCTCTGAGTCCGTACAATTTTTCAGCCAAAGATAGCTTAACTGAATAAATATTCTACATCAATGCAGTAGAAAAAAAAGTTGAAATCACTCTAACTTTCATAACGATTAATGAATGCATCGAAATCGGATATATGATCTTGCTGTGGATGCGAATAATCATGATTTGAATTAATATTCAAACGATGTTCCTGTCGATTGTTGTTGACGACCGAATCATAAGATGGAGGAGGAGCCTCTGACTGTTGATATTGATGTGCGTTCATTTGTTTTCAGTAAGACATAATTAATATACCTTCATTCTCTTTAATTTATCTGAATAAAATAATATAGGTGTCAAGCGAATATCATACATAGAAATGAGTAATAAAGAAACAGAACGATGTAAAAAATTTTTAAAAGCCTCAAGCTTACTCATAATTTCTTCCGACAAATAGAATGCACACCTCTCCATTTGTTTAGACGTCAATATGTTTCTAATAGTCGGTTTTTTTTTCTTTTTCTTTTAAAATACTTATTTCACATTTGAGAGTACACAAACAGCACTTAGGTTGGAATTCCGAAGAAAATGAATGCTTTCATTAAGATTGCTACGACCACCAAACAGATGCTGCCACTGATGAATTTCGCATATAGATGTCTCTAAATACTGGGAATATCCGCAGTAATATGCTGAAGTGTACATTCGAGTATTAAAGATTATGTGCATGAGAACAATGATTTGAATGAAAACCTTAAATAAAATATGTGTGTAGATCTTGTCCTTCGAATTCAGACATACAATACGTATGTAAAACAGTAAAATTGTTTTCTGCTAATAGAATACAGTGTTCAGTGAAAATAAAGTTTTATTTCATTTTTCACTCCGACAAAGGTGCGCATGTGACTGCTCGTGTAGAGCAAATGGAGAACGACACCCACGCTCAAGTTAACTGAATTTAGGATATGAGACACAATTTTAGTGTTTACTCCAAATGATTTTGTTGTTAGTTTTTACATCGCGACAGCATTTTATATTTCACATGTACCTGTTTTCTTCGTAAATAATTTTCTTTTTCAAGACAAACTCTAAATGGGAGGATTTTACATAAAAACTAAAGGTAAAGAATGGGCTTAGTCTCATTTCAAGTATATTTTCGTTTAAGTTATATTTAAAGTAAACAAGTATTTGTAAATATATAAACATGTTTTTTCTTCATGTTTGAAATGAGTTTTTTAATAGATATTATTTACAAACAAGTATAAGATTATTTTCTTCTTAGATTTATGATCACCACAGAAGATCTGTAAAGACAGAAAACACTTGTTTTATAGTTTCTAGAAAAAAGTTATCCTAATGTTAGCAAATACTTTAATGCTCAAATTCGAGATCTAAGCTCAAAGGTTGGGTGTGCGTGTGGGTCCCACACCCACACCCTATTTCCAATTACTAAATGTATTTTGAAGATCATTAGTTGATAAGAAATATTGGGTTGGCAAGAAAGTTTTACATCTTTTTTGTATTACTAAGATAATACAAAAAAGACGCAAAACCTTCTTGTCAACCCAATAATTTGTTTCCGAATTCAACATGACTGCACAAATATGAACTATGAATATATTTAAGTATTGACATTCGAAAATCATAAGAATTTGCATATAGCATACTGGTTAAAGAGAATTCTTTCGGATAAGATGGAAATTTTCATACAAAAGAAAAAGAAAACAATAATAATCTACGTAAATTATCTTTTCAGTGTTTCATAATACACATATCGTACTATAAATAAAATATATCTATTTAATTGTCACCCGATAGCAATGATCTTTAAAAATGAAGATAATTGATTCGGACTTCCATCGAAGATTTTCACATTAATAAAGGGATATTATTAAGCGGTCAGTAAAATAAATGAAATGGTCAGTAAAATATATGAAATGATCAGTAAGATAAATGGTCAGTAAAAAATGTATAAGTGATCAGTAAAAAGATTAAATGGTCAGTACTTAGATTATCACTCATATAAAAAAAAAGATTGGAAAAAATCTGATTTTAATCGATTTTTTAAATCAAACCAGTGATTAAAA